AGAATCAGTACTGAAAGTATTGTCGAAGGGTTCATATGCACTTTAATATCAGTATGTAGTGTGCGAGGGCCCTGAATAAAGATACTTCTAGAACGATCAAATCCATTCAAGATCAGCATWAATGCGACAAAAGGGCCCTGAATAAAGATACTTCTAGAAAGATCAAATCCATTCAAGATCAGCATTAATGCGACAAAAGGGCCCTAAATAAAGATACTTCTAGAACGATCAAATCCATTCAAGATCAGCATTAATGGGATGTAACAATAAGGCTTTTTCTTATTTTTTAAAGTGCACCATCATAACGCCTTTCAGTATTGATTCTACATGAAGGGAATAGATGAGTTACGAGTAAGATATTTCTGGATTTGAGTGTGGCGTCTCAAGTTCGACGATGAAGCCTTATAACGATGAAGCCTTATACTTCAAGTATGTTAATGACTGTGACGTCATTGACACTTAAAGTCCAAAATAGATTCGTTGGGCAATGCGCACACAACAGACCTAATCAACCGTTTTCTCATTTCAGACCACATGTCATGCTCATTCTCTAAAGTATGATTTCTTTGTTTAATGGTTGCACATGAGAAGACACATGAATATGGATACAACTCAAACAAAGAATCTTATTCACAAGACCACGTGTCATTCCCTAGAGTATCATTTCTTTGTTTAATGGTTGCACATGAGAAGACACATGAATATGGATACAACTCAAACAAAGAATCTTATTCTCAGGAATGACACGTGGTCTGAAATGAGCAACACATTACGCCCAAGTGGATGTGGTCCACTCCAAACCATGTTTCTTAATCCGTGTTTTGTCAGACTTTTTCCTCAAATTACCAAACATCTAAGAGTCGTGGTTGCCGGAAGCCAAAAACCATGACGTCTGGGAGCATGCGCATTGACCACAATCATGATGGGTTATCATATACAAAATCTGTTAAAACCAACAACAAGGACGTTTTTTTGACTTTAGTATAAACTAAAAGGTTTCAGCTTGGTAGGGTCACYCTACATATAGAACTAACCCTTTTGTTTTCAGTGTCTGTCATCAGTATCATCAGTATATATATAAATCAGCGGAATTTGCGGGGGAATGTAAACCGGAGATCCAGCGGCCTCTAGACTGATGCAAATGGAAAATTTAAAAAATTTGAGCGTTTACCTCTGTAGCATATCATTCCACACCGACTCGGCGTTCTAGTGAACGACCTTTGGTATCAGGATAATATCCACTGTTTTATGAGTACAGCCTATTTTTAATGACCTCATAACTCGGTGTTTACCACTTGCTAACTGCTTAGGTTCAATGATTGTACATCGGCCTCAGCAAATCCAAGATTATTGAAACAGAAATGCAATGATATAGCGGTTCGATAGAAAAAACTAAAACTTGATGGGGGGGGGGGGGGGGGGGGGGGGGGAGCGGATGGCGTATCGAAATAATTCTTTTGCACGGCTTTTTCTAAGGCTTAAGTTACTCTTTCTCTTTTTTCTTTACTAGTTCAAGGCTTTTCTTTATAGTGTTATAAATGTCTCCTGTCTCCATGAACAAACGGGGTTTTATCGTGATTACGGTGACCAGATGTGTAATAAAACCACATCTAGACAGACAGAAGATGTCAACCCACTAAACCAATAAGTGTAACTAAATGTATTATGTCATATACCAAAATCTAGTTCCATTATGTGCTCTCCTAAAGCCTCCTCTATATAGTCTACGAATCAGCCTTATTCTAACAACACTGAACTTAGCGATAATATTATACTCTTCATTCATCTGAACGATTCATCCACGCTGATTTTGAACAATTTCAGTGCGATTTTTTAAGCGTTGACAACCAATTTCCCAGGCGACAGAGCGTTGTAATCAAATGAGGTTCGATAATAGCGTCAGGACGCGGCGTTCATCGGGGAATTARAAAAGTGGGTCATTGATAAATTAAAGCTGTGAAGAGAAGTACACTGTGATCGACACTGACTGTACAAAAATAATATGTTTACACTATGGAAAAATAAGTAAGTGAACAGATAAACAGACAAGCAAACAAACGAAACAAATAAACGAGTTAAAAAAATAAATGAAAAATATGAATGAAAAACAAAGAGCGGATTTAAATTTATTGAAATATTAAATTGCGAATAAATGGATGAGAATGAATGGATCACTGAGAATTTATTGAAAAAAAAAAGAAAAAAAAAGAGCGGATTTAAATTTATTGAAATATTAAATTGCGAATAAATGGATGAGAATGAATGGATCACTGAGAATTTATTGAAAAAAAAAAGAAAAAAAAACGAGTTCAAAACAAACTAACGAAGAAAGGAACTGGAGAGAGCAAACTAACTGAGGGAATAAAGAACGAAGACCGCCGAAAAAACGAAACTAAAAGAAAAAAAAGGAATGTATCAGTAAATTAATACAGTTCGCAGTTACAGACCTAAACGTCAGTAAAAGTAGTCGACCATGAATTTCAAGTAAAACTAAATTATCACTTTAAGTTTTTTTTAATTTAAACCGCATATTTTGTCGTTACATTAACCCCAAGAGCGTAACGCTCATCGAGGGGGTCTATGACTTTAATTGGAGACAGTGGTTCAGTCAAGTAATCTCTGTGGTAGCGRATTATTTATCTGGTCTGGAGGTAAAACCTTCTACACATTTCACCACACGACAAGTACAGTGTTTCGGCTTTCCTTCTGGACAGCATGCAACAGGTCTTCTATTTTCCATTCTATTCCATTTGCAGTTTTCTTGATTTCTTTGCTTTAGTATTCACATCAAGGTACATTTAATTCAGTTTATATATTTATCTTTTATTGATTATTTATTTATTTATTTATTTATCTCCAATCTATAATAATTACATGTCTATAAATATCATAGACAGAAAACTGAAAGAAGATGAGAAAGTAATGAAGTTGTATAAAGTGACATTGCAATAGTGTTGTATATAAGTAAAGTCACTCGTTCGTTCATAAGTGCGGATGRGATTGAAGCTCTGTTGTGGAGTATTAGGGAGATGCGGGATAACAGACCGTCAGTTTTAGGGATAAAAGACCGAATAGTTTTAGGGATAAGGGATGATCAAAATATCTCCTAACATGGCCTAAAAATGGAAATCAGAGCTTAAATAATATCGCACGAATATATCATGGGTATTCACCACTTATGGTTTCCGTTTCTATTTTTAGAAAGTGGAAAGACCACGCAAAAAAGAATGTTTATGACTGAATGCCTACCATTGTTACTCCCACTCAAGATCACTGACTCAGAGGACTGATCTCCCTGTGTTATTACGATTCCAACCATGCTAAGACACCGGAACTAGCGGGAACAAATACACAAGAGGGCGATGGTTAAATTTATTTTTAACTGATCTTGTACGTGCTAAARAAAGTTTCAAGAAACGGAATGTTGACGCCACTCCGACGATGAAAAACCAAATGAATTTGTTCCACACGAATAGTGATTGTTCGGCCTTGCTTCGTGCGATATTTCGTGTTTTTAGAATCGATCGGCTTAGGTTCCTTTATGATTTRCCGAKTYAAGTTWATCYGAACAAAATAAACRWRTAATGTAAACACTGAAACAAATATACCTCGATTATCCCCGCCTTATCTAAGGTTTTGGGGATAAGGTGGAACCAAACTAATTCAGAGCAAATTTTGGACAATTTTATTCTCGCTCGCTTCGCAAAACTACTGCGTCAATCTAACTGGATTTTCCAAATAATGTGCTTTGATTATCCTACATTCTAACAGTGCATTCTATTTTAAGATTTTTAAAGTGTTTAGCCTATTACGGCCAAAAATCAAACAGTGTTATTTTGATAGTCAAAGAACATTATAAGAAAAATCCAGTTAAATTGACGCACTAGTTTTGCGAAGGGAGCGAAAATAAAATTGTCCAAAATTCGCTCTGAATTAGTTTRGTTCCACCTTAAGTTTTAATAATCCATCTTCTTAAAATCTGGAATCAGTTCCCGAAATTTGACCACATGCAATGAGCGTCTTTGAGTGCAATCTGGGGTTTTTTTTGTTTTTTGTTTTTTGTTTTTTGTTTTCCAAAACGAGTAATTTAGAGCATCGCAATCCTTTGGTTAATTTTTTTTTAAAATTTGGTTTGGTTTAATTAACTGGGCTCTAAGTGTTGGTCATTTTCGAACTAACAATCTAATAGTCTAGCGCAATCCCTCRTTAAATCAGGTTAAACACTGGGCTAAATAAAATATTTTTGTCGGGAGCAATTTCCCGAAGCTCCAGGATATTTGATTATTTCGTGGTTTGAATGTCTTTCAGTTGGACCCACACAAAACATCTTTCTCTTTGATTACAAATTTCAAAGATATTTTCATTGTGGTTTGTTTTCCTGACTAGAATTAACTTGAGTAAGAAAATCCCATGTCGAAGTCATTTGTGGTGGGTTAACTCATTATTAAATATAATCGCGGTCCACATATTCTCATATTAAAGTTAATCACTCATTTACAGATGTGTCCGAGTAATTGACAGTCATACCTTTAATATAAGAATCCGTTAGCATCTGGCTATTTGGCATATTTTTTATCACGAAAGAAGATTCCAAAAAATTAAACGCAAAATTAGGACTCCTCTTATTTCTAACTATAGAAGAGATTGGTTAGATGGTCGTTTAAGGAAGAAAATTCAAGCAAAGTAAATAAGACAGATAAGCCGGCAGCTTACGCGCCCTCAAATTGCTTGCTTTTGTGCTACAACGCAATAAGATCTCTGCTTTCATCTATACAGAGACCTATACATCTCATAGATGGTCGTTTAAGAGGAAGAAAAATTCAAACAACGCCGTAAACAAGAGAGAGAAGCCGGTGCTCACTTTTGTGCTGCAACGCAATAAGATTCACATGAAAAATACTCCTCCGGTTTTTATCTATATAAAGATCTATAAATGTCATAGATKGTCGTTTAAGGAAGAAAAATTCAAACAACGTAAAGCAAGAGAGAGATGCCTGCAATTTACGCGCCCTCAAATTGCTTGAGGTACGGCAAGAGCTCAGTTACATCACGGGAAATGGTCTATACGTACTAAAGATTGTTGACATGCTCAAATCTATGCGTGATGGCATTAAATCGTGAAATAACGAAAACAATACGGTATCAAAACAGTTTTAAGACTTAATTGATAATATATTACCACACAAACCAGATCAAATAGAGTATTAAAATATTGTTAATAATGAATTAAAACAAATTAAATTGTATAAATCTGAGACCAGCTTGCYGGGGTTTTGAATATAATGTCTTTTTAAACCCCAAAAAATCCTGTGGGCTGAAAAACAGCTTTGACATTCGATCTTATTGAACCCATCTCACAAAACCACCACACCCAAGCATCCTGCGATATTGAATACGTACGCTTGTGGCGTGGCATTAAAATATCATTGTCTTAAATTACAAATCTGTYATCAGCTTTCGTATACCACGCTGTAACTAATCTCAACGGAGTAGTATAAATACTGACCTCGTATTCAGTTAGGCATTGACGACTGAGTTCGACCTTCATCATCAAAAGAGTAGCAGTGTGGAAGAATTCTGCAGAAAAGAAAGACAATGAAGCTTTTAATCCTTGCACTCTGCTTCTGTTTAGCAGTAGGTATGTATCTTGACTTTATCATCTTCATTTTAGCTCTTTTTCGATAGTTATTTAGTGTTCGTSTGTCATTYTAAAAGTCAAGATAAATCCGTTAAATCTTCAAGTATGTATTTGTCCTCGTAGTATTTTCTACAACCATTGTATTTCTCAAGAATTGGGCCATTGAATTAMTAGTTTGAGCGAACAGTTTTAAAACCCCACAATGTCACTTTGTGTACTTTAACTTTTAAATCAAAATATTTTAAGAATGTTTTCTTTCATTCGTGACAAATGTCCTAAATCTGTTATCAAAATTTCGCATTAAAAAAGGTATAAACTTCGAAGAAACATCACGAGTAGTATGAAATAGTGTATCCTGTTGTTTTCATAAGGATTTTATTTATTTATTGAAATACTTTTCGGAATACCTCGTACGGACGCTAGTTCAGGATTTAGAAGCAGAGTTCTGTTGTCCCCTGTAATGGTATCAAAGGGTCGTTTCTATAGCAACGGAATGCATTACTCGGGAATAGGTCGGGGTAGGGCCTGCTTAAGTAGAGAGTTTTAGATTTACGTTRACCAGTKGTCGGTTGACCAGTAAAAAATTCTTTTAAATTACTGAAAAAGAATCGCAAGAAAGTCCAAGTAGTAGAAAAACAAAAGAGYATTTCCGCTTGGTGTGAGAAGGTTTGTAAAAGGTAAAGTAAAATACGTGGTCACGTTTGCCRTTTGCGGGGAGAAAAAAAGTCAATCTAAAACTYTCTYTAGTATCTTAATCTTCCCTTAGGGAAAATACTATAGCCAGCTGTTATTTAAATCTAATGATTATCATTTCTTYAATCAATTTTCTTTTTCTGGTTACTTTTTTTAGCTGAGAATTCCAAACTCATAGACGAACTTGAAAAACTCCTTTCATCCGACTCTGCATCCGACTCTCAAGCCCCAGACATCGGCATTCTTGAAAAAGTTGACGAGCTGGATGCTCTGATGCAGGATACAAAGGAATCTGAACCGATGGCTTCAGAGAAAAAACCTGCTGCAAGTAAGTCGTATCAGTAAAGTCACGTGCCTCACATCTGTCGTCACACACCCGTCAATCAAATTTCCAACGGTATGAGTCAGTACTTTTTGATTGACCGCACCCAAGAATCCAGACGTTTTTGGCTGTGGTGGTAGCGTAATTACGGGAACGGTTTTCATTGGAAAAAAATTGCCCATACATTTGGAATATTTGCTCTTTTCGGTCTTTTTCCTCTCTTTCCAAAGCAAAAGGTTGTTCTTAAAAGTAAAGTTATATAGCACAAGTAAACTGCGTGACAAAACATCCTAAATGACCCGTAAATTTTCTGTTCTTTCGCTAACTACCGTATTTAGCGTGTTTTCGAGGCTACGAAACCTAAGTAACCATAAGAGGCGAATGTGCAGGCCAACAGATAGTATGAACTTATAAAATCAGCAAAAATACGGTTCTAAATACGGCTCAGGAAGGCCCGAGGTTTTCAAATCCACTTCTGTTTTTTTGACAGGTTCTGTTTTATTTCAAGGAGAGACAATTTTCTAGCTTGACCCCGGTTATGTCATGCATTTTCTCTTGTAAAATACATCCAATAGCGTACATTCAACTCAAAAAGTACGCTTTCTTATCAATAGAATTCAATCTAAACCATATGATACAGTCCGTGAATAGTTGAATTAACTGAATCCACTTCATTTTTTTGCCTTGATAGTCATCATTTTGAGAAAAGATCCAAAAACCGTGTTTTTGAGACATAATTTGTATGGGCTCACATGAGGGGGCGTGAGCTTGAAATCGTAGCTGACCAAATGTTAATAGATTTTTTTCTGCTGTTTAAAGCTTGCTAGTAAAGAACATTTTTAGCTTTATCAGTGTTTCTTCATTCATTCATTATCAATTAATTAGTTGGTTAGTTYTTTCATTAATTACTCAAATACTCAATTAATTTATTTAGAATTTTTTATTTAATTCATTAATTGAGTATTTATTAATAGATTAATTGACACTAATAACATTAATAAATAATTGATTAATTAATTTAACATTAAATAATTGATTAATTAATTCGATTAATTGATTTGAAACTGTTGTTTCTAAAGAGTATGGATACTGTTTGGATGGAAGCACCTTTGCTGATGGTCCAGATATGAGAGGATGCGCAAGTAAGTATACGGTACCCCCTATCCCTGGGGAAAACAGTTTTACCCAGCAACCTCACAACCCCCCACCTCCCGTATCCCYGGGACAAAACACTTTAAGAGCCTTACTCACAAACCCACACCATACTCGAAACTTAGTGTGGGGGAAAACTTACAAGATGTTCATTTTAAAATMAAATAGAGCCCAGTTAATTTCTATTTTTATTAAGCTGTATCACAYCTTTATCCAAAATTAAATGCCTCATGATTTCGTCTCTTTCGTCCAGGAAAACTGTGCTACGACGAGAGGCCCGGAGAATGCATCAGAGACTTTAAAAATAAGAACGAAAAAGAAAAGAAAATTGCCTGTTACAAAGACTATAGTCATTACAGGGAACGTTGTCCTTTCACCTGTGGCTTCTGCAGTAAGTAATTCTACTTCTGTGTGACCTCGCACACCGAACGATCCATTCTCAACCAATTATATATTCTATAACCTCGTGTTCTTCGATTTTTTCCCCAGAACAACGTAGTCCAGGTCTGGAGTGCAGAAGAAAATACGGAGCTGGTGCCAAATATGGATGTTGTTGGGATGGACTGCCCGCTTTCAAACCCGACAAAAGTGACTGTATGGGTAAGTCTAGAATGAATTTTTTAGACCTGTCGATCACAGGGGTAGTGACACCTATTTCAAAAGGTGTTGATGGAGATGCGATAGCCGAAAGCTCATTCCTATAGACCGTGGAAATATAGGTGTRTATCTAAACAAAATCCACTACAACGGAGCAACTCTGTGGATATCTTAAATCTAACCTTTGTGCTCTTGATGAGAATATTRATAAGAAACACAAGTTATTCCAGCTATTCTTGACTATTTTTGGACCTTCAGATCTCTTAYTATTTATCTCCTCTTATTTTAGCTACCCTTTTTGAAATAGGAGTATACATGAATGAAAGCTGTTTTACAGGAATTCCTCAACCCACAAGAAACCACCATGCATTCTTAGCTCTTCATTTAACGAATCTTTTTCTGATTTTTCAGTTTGTAGAGACATCAACCCTCATACGTGTAGACAGTTTTACAATGACATGAAAGGCGAAGCATGTGGCACCAACTCCTACCGTATTCGACAGTTCTTATTCTCGAGATGCCCACGACTATGTGGTAGATGCCAATGTAAGTTAAATACTCTCAGTACAGTTATTATATAATAAGTTTACTTGATAATAGACTTTTATCTTATGACTGCGAGCGCATTCCAACTTCGTGGGCTACAAAATCGAAAAGAAAATGAAAGTTTACAGAAATAAAAGTTAAGTTGYAGCTTATCTGATTTCTCGCATTCTGATTGGTKTTGAACAGGAGCATGAGAATGCATTTTCTTGCTTTCTGATTGGCTCTCAGCCACGCGCGCGTTTACAACTCAYTCAAGAGTCCTGAAAAATATTTTTTTCATTGACGACTTGTTGTTKTTTAGAAGCAAATAAAAAGACTTATGAAGTAATCTATTGACATTTTCTTTTTCAGAAAMCGTTGATTGACCATCCTCTGATTGCACCAAACGTTATATAAAACAGAATCTTTTAAAAACAGTAAACACAATCTAAATAAGCGTCGTATTGGAGGCTCGTTGCTGTTTGGTTGCACAGTGCATATTTTAGAAATCGTCCAAGCAGAATATTTACCAAAAAAGATTGCTTTATTTGGCGAGAGAAAATGAAAAATGATACCATTTAGTGATACAGTGAATGTAATATCTAATTAACTGCTTATTTGTTAAAAATAAAGAAATACAGATAAATGGATTCTGTTGTAGCGAAAAGTCTTATTGATGGTTTTCAACCATTCCCAAGAGAATTAAATAACAAAAGACATGGCGACCATGTTGGAGGATATAACAAAAGAATTCATTGACATTTTTTTTCTAAATTCCTCCAACATGGCCGACGTGAAAACCATCAATTATTTGAATGCTTCGCCTTCTGTCGCCAACGATGTCGCTTTGAACACCGTATTTGYACTTTGAACCCCGAAATCCCCGATGAAAACGTAAAAACTTAAATTATGAATGACACTACACACATACAAGAGAAAGTAAAGCCTAAAAACTTACCAAATTAATGATACGAGACTGACAGACAAATATAGACAAGCTCCACATCTCATTGCACCGTTCTCATTCATAGCTCGCACAGCAACATGGGAACATTTTATTAGAATAAACTATTCCTTAAATAAAAACAATGCATTACGGTGAGGGTACTGAGCCCACGTTCCTCTTGGCCAGTACCGAGAAACAAGGCTCTGGCTGTTACTGGTGATTTTGAATCTTATTTTATGATATTTTAACACGTTTTTTGAGGTTTAAGGTGGCTGGACCCCCTCACGCTTGACCGCTACCTTCCACTTTTGGAACGCTGGTGCATAAACGTGTTTTATCCGATTGCAAATCTTTTTTGCACATAAGTCACATAAAGATTGAATTAATGTTTGATGAAATTTTTAAGGAGATCGGACGTCATAACACGTAATTATGATGAAATATTTGTTTTCGTTTAGAAAATAATTTTAGCCTTGCAGAGCGTTCAACACTAAAATGCTTCGTACCACATAATTATATACTAGATGCCTCCATTTGTAGGGATTTTAGAAAAAATCTATCTAGCTAATTATGAGATATTTGAGATTATTTAAATATAGTGCATAATCTACTTCAAAACTAAACAATGGACAGTCACCTAAAACATTCCCACAAATGTAAGAGCGATCGACCGTAAACACATTTCATTCATATAATATATATATTTATCATATGATTATCCATAAAATACCTATATTTCTCCTTTTCGAAAAACTGATATTTTCACATGTGAAAATAACATGTTATTTTCACATGTGAAGATATCGTTATCATGTGTATTTAAGCTGTTAGTTAGTTAGTTGTAATAATAAAAAGCTTATTAAGTTGATTTTATGGATAATTATATAATAAACAGAATATTACATGGGCCTTGGAGATACGAATTTTATCTTCTCGTGTTGAAAATCTCTCACTCGTTCGCTTAGCTGTATTTCCATGCAATTCCGCTTTTCAAATGTCCTCAGTTTTGATAATTTTATTTATTTATTTATTTATTTATTTATTTTCATTTATTTATTTATTTATTTATTTTCATTCATTCATTCATTCATTCATTCATTCATTCATTCATTTATTTATTTATTTATTTAGCTTCGCCATTCAAACACTCACACATACACATACACGAGAATAATTACATACATTCATACATAATGGCTGGGAATCCACTACAGCGTGTGCCAATTTTCGGGAACATTTTYGGGAGCGTTTATTGTATTAAGTAGTTGTTTTCCTTTGTTTCTAAGTAGTTTTCACGTTTATTTGGTGTCTTGATGCGAAATAATGAGCGAACATTTAAAAAACGTGGGATCCCTGGTGATTCCATGTGAAATACCCGCTTGTATACGTCATCTGTASCCAATCAGCACGCGCATGTTTCATGGGATTCTATATTGAATATCTCGGCAACGAAAAGAGATATCAGAATGAAATTAAAGGCCATTCTTATTAACGGCAACCACAACGAAGAGGCTTTGAAATTTCACGAAAAAATTCCCCAAACACCCCGGTTTCTCTCCAAACCCACAASAACGGCTGTTCTTGTTAGAACCCAATCTGGCTTCTGATTGGACTACTCAAGGAATCAGTGTCAAAAAAACCCTTGAAGTGTTCATGGTTCGAGTGTCCGCACAGTAATACTAAGCAATCATCAGAAACTAACTTAACATAAAATTAACTTACTATAATATTTTTATTAAATAATTTCTTAAAAAGGCCTCGCTTAAAACTATTGATATCTCACGGGCGGCGGAACCGGGGGGG